CAGAAAAAAGGGGTAAATAGTACTGTTTTAAGCTCCGTTATTTTTCATGAAAGTCCATTTGATTTTCCTTTTTTTGTCTCTCTCTTTCTTTCTTTCTCTCTTAACCTTCTTTAGCTATCAGCCAATAATAAAGGTTCATTCCTATTTATGTCGTATCAAACTGATTCTAACTTGCTTTTTGTAGCTTGTATATCTGTTTCTGACTATCAAGAAAAATCCTACTGACGTAAATAAACATGCTCTTTGAGGCTTGAACATTTACTTATCTTTCCTTTTTTTCCCTCTAGCGATGAAGAACTCCATGAAGCCTCTATCAGTCTCATACTTTAATATGCACACGCTTACTGAGCCTTCCTTCTCTAGTTCCTTGGCACGCTAGCTTTGTGGGTCTATGGCTTTATCTCTGGTAAGGTAAGTGCCAAGGTAAGTACAGTAAAACTAATATCCTTTTAGAATGGCTTCATCTCTGGTAAGGTAAGTGTCAAGATAAGTAAAGTAAAACTAACATCCTTTTAGAATGACCTCTAGGTTTTTTGGCTTTTTACTTTTGGGTCTCTGGTAAGGTAGGTGTCAAGGTAAGTACAATAAAACTGACGTTCTTCTAGGATGGCCTCCATGGTTTGCCAGTTTTCTGGCCTCCAGGTTCGTTGGCTTTGTGGGTCTTTGACTTCTTGGGTCTCTAATGTAAGTTCCTGTTCCATTACTCACCTTTATCTGATAGGGTTTCATGGTCCTTCATCGGTCATTAATTCTAGGTATATATCATTCTCTTTGATATTAAAACCCGTCTCTTGTAGGTTTCTTCTGATGGATTCTTTGGCTGCTCATCGATCTGCCCCTTATCTACTTTGTCTTGCTGTGCTTTATTGTTGTATAAACAGTTTTTGTAATAAATGTCCTCTGTCTATTTGTTTTATTTCCCAATTTGAAGCCATCGTTGTGCCTAAAATAAGCTACATGCATTTTCAATAATATTTATACACTCTTTAAATTTAAGAAATAGTGTGTGAATCTTTCAATAGCAAGCCCCTTGGACGTTCCTTATTTTTCATATGCTAACCTCTTGATCATACTGAATACTGAAAGTAAACAAAATGTGCACGTATTTGAAGAGGTTGAAAGATAGGATGAAAAAAAAGTTGGTAACATCTAAAAATTTTATTGTGAAGCATACTCATTTACTCTGCTTGAAAGGGAGCTCTGATTATCATTCTTCAAAAGATAGGCGCAACAAAAATTATAAATAGCTTAATGTATTACACATTTTCATTTTTCCTTCATTCAAAGGGTTAAAAGCAAACTGACCAAAAGGAAGTAGAAACTGTACTTTTGTTCCTTTACACAACACAGTCGTCAGTCACCTTTTTTTTCCTGACGACAGAAAATAAATCAAGATGACTCTATGCCTAACTAAAAAGAAAGTTTGACAAATAAAATAGCTCTTCCATCTTTACTATTTAAAAGGGTTCAAAAGTGAGATGAATTATGAAAGAGCCAATGAGTAGTATCCTGAATTGACATGCAGCTGTCATCAAGATACACATTTTACTACTCCTTTGCTGTCTTTTATGACAAACATAAAAAATGAAAAGTATTATTTTTATAAAAGTATACGAAGATGTCATCGTATTGTTATTTTGATTAACAATTCTTTATAAGTTTTAATATCTTACTGTAATTGAATAGTGGCAACTAAAAGAAGGATTCATAATTGTAATTGGATTCATTTGATATAGTATCAGCGTTTTTCAGATGAACCCCGTCACCCAAGATGTGGTCCCTAAGGGCACTGTAATACCAAAGGGATACCGCTTATGGACGCTCAGAGTTTATAGCAAGGATCTACTGCGTAAATTCTTCCAGCATGTGTTTATATTTGTTCAGTCTGAGTCTTCATCAAATAAGATCTCATTTGTTTGTGCGGTTTGTCGTTTCCTTTTTTTTTTCCTCTTTATCCATCACTTGTTGTAAGCCATCTCAATCTTGTGCAAAGTACTATAAATGCAAAGAATTCTAAAGTTACTTAGCCTGTAGAGACGCGCGCGTCATAAATATGCGCCACTCCTTGAAAGACGCGCGCGATTAAAAACGAAACGCGGGGATGCAGTCACAATGACATTTCTTTCCATTTAAAGGGAAAATTGTTCTTTACCATATTTCATGTCACTTGAACAAAGCTTAAAGAGAGCGCTAGGATCATTTACGGATCAGACGAGTAAAAAGCCTAGAAATTACGAAAGAGAGGATAATGAAGTGATTAATGTTGAACGACAAGCAACAACAGACAGCAAAAGAAATACAACCGTACGTAATGGAGATCCCAGTAAAGTGAGACGTCAAGAGGAAGAAAGGTATGCATTTATGCTTACAAAAATGTTGAAAGATATATAAATATGTCCATAGTATAACTGTTGTCATTGTGTCTGATTTAGAAGATGAAGATGACACAGAATCTAAAGGTTATTAAATATAGTGTAGCTCTTTGTTTCGTTTAACTCACACTATTTTATATACATGATAGATGCTAGCATAAAAGAAGGTTGCTTATATATACATTAATTTCAAAGGATATATTTCCTGTACTTACACTATTTTATGAATAGAAGGGACTGAGCTTGAAAGAGCAAATGATCAGGTACCTGAAAACACGACCACGGGAAGGAATGAATCCGATCAGCCCAAGAAGAATGGATCGAAAGGAAAGGGAGAAACGATATATATAACCATCAACGATGATTCAGGCAGTGAACACAGCGATGTAGAACATAATACAGATACAATTGATGCTAAAGTGAAAGAAGAAGACAATAATAATCATGTATCTGAAAATACAACAGATGCATCTAATGAGATAAAAGACAGAGTCAACGAAGAGAATGCTATCGAGTCTACTGAAAAGAGTAAACAAGATGAAAAAAGCACGAATGTACCTGCGAACGTCCCAGGAAAAAGTGATATTGAAGCAATGGATGTTGATGAAAATATTACACCTATAAAACCATTTGGACAAAGGAGAAAAAAGCAAGATGAAAGTGACGATGACTTTACCCAATTCGACAATAATAGCAGTAAGATAATGGCAGAAAATTTATTTTTATATACACATCTAAACTTTTCTTATACTAGCTAATGTGCCTCCACCCATTACACGACCAAAAAGAAAACCTGCTCCAAAACCTTTACCAGTGACAACTGTGATCAAGAAATCAAAAAGGCCCAATTCGCCACGAGGAAAAGCGTCTTTTGAAAATATCAGTAAAAGAAGATTGCTGAAAACTGGATTTGTATATGACACTGTCATGTCCTATCATGCGACACCAGATCCAATCGAAATACATCCAGAAGACCCTAGAAGGATCTTCAAGATTTATTCAATTATGGAAAAACATGGTCTATTAGCAGAATGTAAACGAATTAAAAGTAGAAAGGCGACCAAGGAAGAGATTATTGCGATCCATAGCATTACACATTATAGAAAGATGAGAGCGACAACAAGTAAGTGTCTTGTTTCTATTACACTTATATGTACCAACATGTTTTTTTTTTTTGTAGAATTCAACAAAAGATCACAGTATATTGACCTCGAACACGTTTATGATTCTGTATATCTTAATAGCAGCTCCTTTGAGTCTGCTTTATATGCAGCTGGGAGCTTAATTGAACTACTGGAAGCCCTTGTGAAAGATGAAATTCGAAATGCATTCGCCATCATACGTCCTCCAGGGCACCACGCTGAACATGACGCTCCCATGGGCTTTTGTCTTTTTAACAATGTAGCTGTTGCTATCCATCACTGTATGAAAAAATTGGATGTCAAGAAGACGGTCATTGTGGATTGGTAATATGAATACAGATCAAAAAAGCATCAATCTAATACCTTGTTAGGGATGTGCACTTTGGCAATGGAACTCAAAACATATTTTCAAAAGATCCTAATGTGCTGTATATATCCCTGCATAGATACGAAGATAAAACCTTTTATCCATCCAGCAGAAAAGGTGCGGCGGACTATACTGGGCATGGCAAGGGCAAGGGCACAACTGTAAACATCCCATGGCCCTGTAGTGGTATGACGGATGCAGATTATCTTTATGCTTTTCGGGAAATCGTTATACCTATTTCTATGGAATTTAATCCTGATTTACTAGTTGGTAAATATATGAAGTATATTCACACATACAATGATGTCTTGTTAAGCACATAGTTTAGTTTCTGCTGGCTTTGATGCAGCCATAGATGACCCTATTGGGCAATGTAAGGTGACTCCGGTTGGATATGCACATATGGTACACATGTTAAAATCTGTTAATAATGGCAAAATGGCGATTGCTCTTGAAGGCGGATACAACCTTAATTCTACAGCTATGTCTGCTTTGGCATGTATGAATGTCTTACTGGGTGATGCCCCTCCACCTATCACGAGCAACCTTACTCCCAAGAAAGAATGCATAGAGACGATTGAGCAAGTCAGAGAAATACAAAAGGAATTTTGGACATGCTTGTAGATAATTAGAAGAATCCGTAGGGATAACTTTTATTTTGTAACGATGTAAATAAAACGCAATCATGGTTTCTTTCCAAAGAAACTAAGAAGGCTGGATTGACCCATCTTCTTTGATGCAGGTGGTTTATTGGTTGTAGGTGCTGACTTCGCTGACTTTGTTGGCTTTGGTGTCTTCTTTTTTGTTACTTCTTCCTGTGGAGCATCAACTGTTTCCCATTCCCATACTTCTTCAGTCACTATAATACAAGGAATATTAATCATTGCTTATGTATATAATAGATGCCTTTCATACCTAAAAGACCACGAGCATTGGTTGTTGTCTTCTTTTTGAGCACCTTTCTTCTTATCTTTCCTGGTTCAGCAGGTATTGCTTCTTCATCTTCGTGCTCTTCTTCTGCTTTTTCTTTATTATCCTCATCTGCCTCAAACATAACAACATCTTCTTCATCTTGTTGTTGTTGTTGCTCTTGCTCTTGTTGTTGTGGCTCTTCTTCTTGATCATCATCTGAGAATATATCTTCTACTTTGAGACTTGTCTTTGCCATACGTTTTTCTAAATCAGCTAAGTTGGTTCATATTTAAGCTTGTGTCCTGTGTTTCGATATCAGTAATCACTCACCTTCCTCACTTCCGGTCTTCTTGGGAGGAGTTGTCTTTACTTGCTTCTCATTCTTTTTAGATTTGCTGCTACCTGTTGCTTTTGTGGTAGTGTTTTTCGATGTCTTTTCTATTGCTACCTTTTTCAAAGGTGAAGAAGGAGCAGCAGAAGAATCTGGAGGAAAGATAGCTTTTCTTTTGGTTGCACTGTGTGTTGCTATCACTGGTTGCTTACTAAGTGGTACATTTGTTTTTGCTGGAGGAGGAGGCGGTTGTAAGTCTTTGGCAGCTGGTTTATTGTATTTGACGGGATATTTCAATATACCGCACTTGACACGATCTTCCAGAGAAAGCTTGGGTATGTCTTTATTAGCAATATAAAGCATAGAAAGGTTGTCAAGAGAATAGGAAGAGATACTATAGATGTACATGTTGGTGATCTTTTTAAACTTCTTCTTGATTTCTAAAGAAAGAAAAGGTTTACGTTTTCTCCTTGTATACGCTTGTTCGATTTTGAATATTTACCCTCCAGATCTTCCTCTTTTACTAGTTGAATACACATGTCATTATTGAGTGATTGACCCATGATGCAGTATATGACGTGAAGGTTATTATTGGATTTTGAATATTCTTGCAAAGCTCTCGTTGTGAATCAAGTTAGAGGCACTGTCTGTTGTGGATAGATCTGACGAACTTACTGTTTGGCATTCTGAACATGAATACCTAGTGATCTAGCAAGTAACTTATATGTAACCTATGAAAAAGTATATTGAACAAAAAACCCCCCTCTTTTCTATTTTCAAGTACATACTGGCTTATTCTCTTGATTGACTGCGATATCCAAGAATTCTTTATAATCTGTCATTGCTGTGCTTCAGAGTAAGAAAAGGGAAATCAAGAAAAAAAAAGCCCCGTGTTACGCGTTAAAATAATTTTTGAAAGTGCGCGTACGCGTGTCTTTCTTTAAATTTTGTATGTGCGCGCATAACAAGCATTATGAATTATGGATCAGTACATTATATTCTTAATTATCACGGGGATTGACTATATGAGCCTACTATGGCAGCGTGCAGTGTTGCCTTTGATGAGAGCAATGATTTTGAAGTTGTCATAAGAACTCCTCTTATCGGTCATGATGCGTCTTTTTCATTTTATATAAAATTGAGAACTAAAGGAAACCCCAAGAGAAGCAAGAAGGTCAAAAACACTAGCGCACTTTATATGCATATCCCTAAAAGGACGCGCCAAGGTCTATACATCAGTGTGACGATGTTTATTTTTTGAACTTACACTTCTGGAGCGCGACTTTGGTTTTTACACACACATACACCAGGCTGCTCAACTTTGCATTTCAAAAACATTGTATATTACATTTGATACTAATTCTAATGACGATTATTACCACTTCTACTACTTTCACCAGCTGGGGAAGGTGTGCTTAGCATAATTTCAACAGCTCGATTCAAGTCATTATGCGCTGATGATAGCGCTCTTGTAATTGTTTCTCTTGGATGATCAGGGAACATTGTCATGAGAATTCTGGTATATTCTGGAGAAGGTGGTTCCAGATCAGAGCCTACTACATCTCTACCTGTAATTGTATCTAGATACTCCTAAAGGAAAAATCATATATTAACTTCCGAAGACACAAGCCAAGACAAACTTTACCCTAACAGAAGAGGAGCCTTCAGCAGCAAGTGAAGACCTTGCACTTGCTATTGTTTCATTTGTATTTGTAGTTGTATTGTTTCTTCTATTGATCAACCCATTAGCTAAAATGTTATCTACAGAGCTAAGACTGGTGATAATAGGGCGCTGGATTGGCACTGTAGCAGAAGATCGAGGATTTGGTGAAGATGTAAAGAATGGCAAGATGAATCGACTTGCTAAAAACTGTACGCCTTTTGGGAACCTCCATTGTTTGATATTTGCAACATCTGTTCTATAAATTGCACTAGATAATAATCCACATATTGACGGCACTAGTGTCTGTAATAGCCTTGAACATGCCAATTGAGCTGCCAAGACATATAAAAATAGTTTATCGGTCATAACAATTCCAAATATTCTGAATCTATACGTCACTGGGATCACTCGATAATACTGATACAAGATGGCAAATGTGATAGCATAGCTGCATATATATACATAAGCTTTCTCTCTCTTAAGTTATCAACATATCCACTTACGGTCCACTAGGTATACTCTTCAATCCGATTCTCCCTCCTACTATCAACATGACTACCTCTAATATCGTCGACATAATGGTTGTAATAAATAAAAAAGCCTTTGTTTTTGAAATAAGAGATTATGCAGTGTTGTTAATATACTATAGTTACCGTATATTTTGATGTTCCATATTGTCTTTCTATTATGCGCATAGAATACAAGATAATTGAGCCAAAAAGGAAATCCCCTGAACTGCTAAATGCAATATGCGATAGAAACAGTCTTGAAAACTAGTAAAATGATTAGAAAACGTTTCTTTAATTAATAAAAAGACATTATGTACTTGATGATGAACTGTTATATGTGGTGTGAGTTGCAGATGAAAGTGTTGCTTTAAGCCAAAAATAGAAGCCAAAACAGATACTGTTCCAATAAATAGAATTAAGCATTTTGTTGCAGGCACATTATAAAAGCCTAAACATGAGACTGGATTAGCAATCCATTGCTCCCCTATCTGTCCATCATTAGACAGAGAGAGTTACCTGAAGGCCCCACAGATTGCATAGCCATTTAGAAAAAGGAAAGAAAAAAGCCAGAAAGTCCGACATCTCTTTTCTAAAGAAAAACTATGCACACAGCCTTATCGTATTTTCTCAATCTTATCAAATCATTCAAATGGATAAAGACACCTTGTAGAAACGCATTCTCCATAAGTTTCTAGTACATGACCAATATCTATTATTATACTTTGCTGCATTCCTCCAATGGCTGCTTAATTCTTTGCCAGTGTAAATATTATAGATAAAGCTATCCAAGTTAAATTTATCAGTACTTGGCAGGATTTTTTGATATGCTTTCTACTAAAGAGCATCAGTTAAACCTTTGCTCATTAGTATACACTGCGATTTTACATGCCAAATTCAGTATTGATTGTATTATTACTATGACAATTGCCCTTGACTTAACAAGATTATGCGCTCTATTATTAATAGCAAATCCTTTGATAAATATATCAGCATGGATAAACACTAAATGTTTGAGCTAGCTGATGAGAGCTATCTTGATAGGTATAATGTTTAGATTTGGATTGTAAACATGAACAGTAACTATCTCGGGGAAATCAAAATAGTAACATTCATTCATTTGGCATTAGCTCCATTACATATAGCTCGATTAAAACAGTAGAGAGCCCATTGATAACATTTACTATAAGTTGAAAGAAGATTAAGCGAGAATATGGCCCAAATGTATCTTAAGAGATATGTGATCTATGTAGTACATTTTAAACAAGAACAGCATAAAATAAATCATGTGGTTATCACACGCTTTTTTACCTTGACTTGGTATTAAGCAACACATTTTGTCATAAACTTATTTTAACAAGTTGTATTTTTGAAGCGAAAACATAAAGTCTTTCATTCTCTTCCAAAAGTATTTAAGACAAGCATTTTTAAATTATAAAAATGAACAAAATACAATAAATGATTTAATAATAAAAAACCGCCTATAGTTTTTTTTTTTTTGCTTTCTTATATATGCTTTAGACAGAAAGATGATCATTATAAAGTAAACATAATACAATATATGAAAGCCATGGGATTTCTTTAAGAATTTGCTTCATATGAAAAAAGTCGATATACAAATTCTAACCATTACATTAGCTAAAGTATATATGTCTAGAATTCATCAACATTGTAGAATAATGGTACCGAAAGATATGACATCCAAACTCAATCTTACACAATATGGAGTTTTTTATGAAGAACATTCATGCGCAAAAGAAAGGAGCAATTTATTTGTCTTGAAGTTTACGCGCTTCTCTAACACTAACTGTAATTTGCTTTTGTAGAACCTCTTTCTTGCTTAATTCCACTTATTGAAGAAACCTCATTTGTCTTTGTACATCTAGTATCTCGGCTCTCTAGTTGAAAATAGTGTCGACAACAGCAGGAGAGCAGCAAAGCTGTATCTGCCATATGAGGCTCCAGTTCGTTATCTTGTGCATATACTTTGATAGTCTTTTAGAAAATCCTAATAAATGACATTTAAAGACTTTCCTGGAACATAAGCCCTCTTAAGCATCCATTATATTTTAATTCGAGGCAGAATAGGTTCATAATACATTCCCTTAAACAAAGCAATCTATGTAGAGCATATTATATAATGTTTATATTGAATATTACTGGTATCTTTTCTTTGCTTTTCTATAGCAAGCTCTTGTTTAAATATCCCTTTTTCAGGATAAAATTGGATATAATATTTTAAAAGCTGCTTTCCATTGCTAGCTTTTGCTTTAATTGTGCGTTTATCGTATACAACAAATGTATAGTTTAGTTTGCACTACGTTTTGTTATTCACGCCATGCGTTTAGTTTATGCAGTTTCTTTTTTATTTTTCGCTTACTTTGTCTGTTGCGTTCATTCACGTTTGCTACGTGAACTTAGAAAGCAAAAGCACTGCATGCTCTCTAGTTAACACGGTTGTTGTAAGCAAAACAAGAAATTGATATGCTAATTTATTATACTCTACTATCATCTCTCGCTGTTTAAAAGAAAATGACGCGTAATTGAAGAGGTTTAGTACTATGTACTTCATTTACTGCAGTAAAGCAAAAAATATAAAGTGATAAGCAAAGTTTTGCAGAGTCTGAATTATCCATTCGCAAAGCAGTAGCTGTGATAGATATGTCTTGTGATCTTCAAGAACACATAGCTATAATTGAGCAACATACTCGTATTTTAGCCTTTGCATAAGGATATATTTGCTCATATTTATGAATGCAAGTATAAAAAGCTTTAGAGATTCAAAAAACATGCGTACTTTTTGAGAGCAAGTTATAATTTACTTGTTTGCCTTTATGAAGCAATAGTTTGATTGAAATATACCTGAAGTTCTTGGTAAAATTGGAAATAAAACAAGCACAGTCGCTACTTGTAGTTAAATCTGGACTCGACAGTAATAAGTTCAAGATGAAGAGTACTCTATCTGAAACGTTTATGATACACTCGGAAACACTAGGTTATTAAGCCTTCTGATACATGTATATTACATAAGCCATCATTCTACCGTTTATAAAAAAAAAAGAGCCCTTTTGGTCTACTTTCTTTTCAGAAAATTATGCTATTAGAAAGATACAAATGTCAATTTGACAATAAAAAAAGTTTACAATGGCGCCAACATGGTGCATATGAAATTTGAATAGAAAGTAACAGTTTCATCTTAAGTGTCACTCGAGTTACTGAATTGGTAAGCCTCGACAAATATATGTATTGAGACATGCTCATTTCGTCTGATTATAAGCTTGGCGTATGTATAAAAAACCAAATATAAATAAACAAGCAGAGCCATGTCCGGTGATATCAAGGGAGGGAAATGGTAAAACTCTGGGTTTCTTGTACCTCCTGACAGATTCTAAAATAAACATTACACAAAGTTACACCATCATGATTAAGCATGTAAACAAAAGGACTTACATGCTGTCAGCCCCTTTACTTTGTTTGAAAGCAACTTTAAACAAGCATGCAGTCAATTTCTACCATGTCAAATATTATATATACATATAAAAAGGATCTTCAATGCATAATATATCTCCTAAAATGAACGGGATTATCACGGCATTGTAAAATATCCTTGTGGATACAATATAGAAATAATGAAAAAAAAAAAAAGTGTGTAACCTTTAAAAAAAGGAAAGACCAAACTGGTGGACTGTGCCCCCATGATGTTTTCTTCATTTCCAAAAAAAAAAAAAAATTAACTGATATCCTGTCAGTATCCTTGAATGTATCGCTCAAGTTTCAGACTATCATGATATAATAATGGTTAGATGACGCGCTTGCCGTTTTTATACAATGTACAAATATGTACATGTATGTAATATAGAATTGAGTGACAAACAAAAAGAGAAACAGTGCACAAGCTATCAAACTGTGTGAACAAACTAGTCTATAAACAGGTTATTATCTCGATGTCACGATGGATGCCATGTATTGTTCGAGATAAACATATATATCTTCCATTGCGTAAAGTAACTTTTTTGATAGATAATAAAATCTATTATAAACAATCTACATGTACTTGTGGTAATCTTTTAAGAAAGCGAGACTTAATTAGTAAAGAATTCTATAAATACATAAACCTCCTTGTAAACTCCTGAATGTTGTATTGGCCATTTCCTCTCTCTCTTTTTTTTATATATTCTGCAAAACGTTAAACGCCCGACGAGCCCAAATAAAAAACAGTAAACTCTAACCGACCCAAGAGATTACTGAGCTACCGTAGCAATGATAGTGTCGCGTGTAATGTATGAATAAAAGGATGGTTACTTTATAATCATGGAGATACACATGTGTAAGATGAATGATTTCATCATTAGAATATGTGTGGTGGCTATGGCAACCCCTTTTAATTGTGTCAATTGGTATTATATTTAACTCCGTCATTTCCAAACTTACGACATTTTATTTGTTCCCGAGCTTTTTGTGATAAGTTTTTTTCTTTCTTCCTTTTATCATTTCTTTATCCCTTTTCTCTTTCTCTTTCTCTCTCTCATACTTCTCTGTCTGCGCGCATAATATATGCTTCACCTTGTGAATCAAAGGTTTGATATAGTTACACCTGAAAGATCGAGACCATCTAGTCCATCGTTATCGCCCGCCGTTGTGACTCATACAGTAGCCACAAGTCAACCACAGAGACGTTCATGGGAAGCATCTTCAGTAGACTTGAATGAATTATCTAGACTATTACAACAAAATCCAAGGCCCAGGCCAAGATCACAACTATTCCAATCATCAAAACCCCCTTCACCGACATTATCAACCAACTCAGCCGAACCTACCTTTTGCTCAAACACATCAAAAAATGCGGTTGTACCGATATTATCACAGCAGCAAAGAAGACCCAGTCTGATTCATAGACCCTCTAGTACATGTTCAACTCCTTCACAATTTGTATTTAAAAAGCCAGAATATGATGAAAAATACCATCAAACACACTTTCACAGACCATGCAGTCAAGAACGAAGTAAAGATCCCTTTTTAGCTTGGTCTGATCTTAAAAGATTTTTTGTACAACAACAACAGCCTACTTCACCTACTGGTTCCTCGACACATTCTCATGAATCAGAAACATTTGCTAATCAATTCAGACAAGATATTAGTGGAAGATATGGCACTTGGGGTAAGAAAAAAAACAAAGAAAAAAAAATAGACACATCATATGGCTTACTATATGTATATATTAGGCAAATATATTGGCAAAGGAGCAGGTGGCTCAGTTAGACTGATAAGACGTTCATCGGATCAAAAGACATTCGCGGTCAAACAGTTTCGAAAAAGATTACCTCATGAATCAGAAAAGGACTACATCAAGAAAGTAACAGCTGAATTCTGTATTGGTTCAACACTACATCATCCCAATGTCATCGAAACACTCGATATAATACAAGAAGGACCTAATTTTTATGAAATTATGGAATATGCACCTAATGACTTATTTAACATTGTCATGAGCGGTATGATGTCTAGAGAGGAAATCGCTTGTTGTTGGCGTCAATTACTGAATGGTGTTGATTATTTACAATCAATGGGAATTGCACACAGAGATATCAAGCTAGATAATCTCGTATTAGATCACATGGGCATACTAAAGATTATCGATTTTGGATGCTCAACTGTTTATAAATATCCTTTTGAATCCAATATGACATTAACCAAAGGTAAGCGAAAAAAAAATAGCACATATTCTAATATCTAACTTTCTCCTTTTAGGCATATTTGGCTCAGACCCTTATATCGCTCCTGAGCAATATACCCAGCCTACGTATGACCCCCGCTTATCAGATATATGGTCTTGTGGCATTGTATACATCTGTATGATTATTAGACGATTCCCTTGGAGAGTGCCACGCCAAACAGATCCTTCATTTCGTGCATTTGCCACCAATCACAACCAACAACAATTTAGACTTTTAAAATTACTACCTCGCGAAGCAAGGCCTGTCATGGCCGGCATATTAGAAATCGACCCGAACAAACGACTTAATCTTCAAGCTGTCTTGGCTGATAATTGGGTGAAAGAAATTGATGTCTGTCAAGTTCACGAACCAGGCAAACATCACGTCCACCATGTCCTCGTTTCTTCGCCTCCTAATCTAAATAGAGATAATCTGGTCGTCATCACACCTGAACCACCTGGTGTCGTGGCTGAAAAAGAAAAGCGAAAGAGACAACAGAGTAGTAGACCTGCTTCACCTATACCAAAATAGCTTTTCTCTTGTACACACACAAAAAAGAACCCCCATTTCAACTGTTGTATTGAGCAAGAAATAAAACACACACGCACGCACACAAGCGAAAGAGAGCGATTATTTATGCATAATATATAAACTGAGGCCCCTCTATATTGGACATATACCTTTATACCCTTGAGGAGCCTCTCTCATATATAATCGATCCTTGCGTTTATTTATATTGATACAAGCATCTCTTTTTGTTAAACATCCAAATACCCACTTTCTAGTTTTTCTCCTTCTTTTCTTGGCACAGAACATATGCTCTTTTCAAGGTCTTTTTTTTTTTTCTTGGCGTGGCACCCATACGCACATATATACAAAAGCACTTCTTTACATTAGAGTGCTCCGAATCAACGCACAGACGTAATCTCCCCAAAAGAGGCAAGCATCTGCTGTGATTATACTAAATGTGTCTCCACTTAAATACAGTAGACTCTCGATTACGGAATACCTATGGGGAGCACAAACGACATTCCATAATCAAGAATATTCCGTAATAAAGCTCATACGTCGACAATTCAGGTGAACATCGCAGAAAGTTAAAAGCGGTGGCTGTGAAGTCCTTCGAAAATGGTATTCCGTAATCGAGAGTCTACTGCGCATATTTCTGTTCAACGTGTCAAAAAAAAAAAAAAAACAAAACAAAACAAAAAAAAAGAGTATAACTTGTAATAACCGAAAGACCAGCACCACATTCACCAGAATATATACCAGAAAATAGGTCAAATAATGTAAAAACGAATCTATCATAAGTGATCTTTTTTGATCAACTGACCACTTAAAAGATTTCTTTTTATTTCTTCTTGAAAAGAAATAAGCTAAGACGGCAACTTTATAAAACCATGCTTAGCGTGGCACCATACATCCAAAAGCTTTGATGGGTAATATCATAGGTAATGGGTAGAGATAGTGTTCCTAGTATTAGTTTAACTTCTGGTGTATCTTCTGGTGCATGTAGTGTTTCCCTAATCGAAAATGTCACGTTCAAATATCAGGTTGTTGTCTGAGAGGAGCAAGCAATAAACTTTTAAAAATGTATACGGTTGAACGCTCTACCATTAAGCTTATTCATGTGGTAAAAACGGAAACTGATAGGTAAGAAACAATGAGGTGAATCACATAAAATTTTACAAACATATAATTTTTAGTAGCTTTGCACTCGTTCTACATTTTACCATATTTATTGTCTTTAAAAAAAGGTTGTGTGTCCAAGATTAGAAGGAGTAACAATCAACCCAAGTTTAATAGAAAATCATCCTGTTATATACGTAAGTTTTTTTTATAGCCTGTATTAATGGAAGTATATTAACGCGCATAATCAACACACTTATTAGAGTTCCTTTCATCCATAATTTTTAGGAATTGGAAAGGTGCGGGAATTGAATTAAAAATGCGCGAAAATATTTGAAACAGCGCGAATTGGTGCCATGAGCACTGTTTATAAATAAAACGTGTGCCTATAAATAAAAAAAAATCTGCCCCTGCAACGCTTTTCTTTTCTTTTCTCTATAAACATATAAAAAATGGAAAAGCTCAAGGAGGTAAGAAAAAACAAGTTTTGCTTTATAGACAATTATTGAGCAACCCTATACATAAAAGAAAATTGCTTCCCTTCGTAATGAAGCCGATACTGCTAATGCCAGAGCTGATGAATTAGAAGCTCAAATCAAGCAACTGACAAGCGAACAAATTGCCAAACATCACGAACTCTCTTCTCTTCAAAACCGCGTTAAATCTTTGGAAGAACAATTGGAAAATGTGGAGGATAAATTCAAAAAGACATCAGAAGAGTAAGTTAAACAAAGGGAGGTTATTGCGTATATGCTCACCTATCTGTTCACAGGTTCAGAGAGGCTGACCTGAAAGTAGAAGAAGCAGAAAGAAAGATTACGAAGCTTGAAAGTGAATTACAAGAAAAGGAAGAGAAATATGAAGAGCTCTTGGAGAAGTACAATGCTTCAAAGGCTGAATTAGACGAATTAGCTCGTCAGTTTGAAGATCTGTAATAATTTTATTATCATCTTTTTTTATTCATTCATCATTCTTTCCCTTGATATACTTTCTGAGTGAATCTATTTTTTTTATTCATCAATAAAACATATCCTTCTTTTTCTTATTTGTTTACCTGAAACATTCTCATCACTCGATGTGTTTTCTTTATACGGCCTCTTTGTAGCGGCCGTTCCTCTGGCATCTTCTTTTCTTGCTCCTTTTTCATCATGTCCAGTCCTAACGCTTTCTTACGGTAGGGCTCATAAGCAAACATTCTTGATTTTATCGCTGCACGCCCTTTTAGACGTGCGTCACCTTTCTGATAATATTGTCATTATTTGCCCCCATTTTTTGTTTCTTTTGTTTACCTTTATTTTTTCTACTTTATTTACATACAAGCTCATACCGTCATGCTTTTTCCAGTCCCGTGATTTTATTCTATGTCGAATAGAGCCTGTATAACTTTGTAGCCTTGGCAGCACTCGCACAGTGACCTTTAGGTCATGATCGGGTATTAAGGTGTCTTGGCGTATCCATTTCTTTCCAGATAATGCTAATTTCTTGGCTGCTTCAGTTGCTTCTCTTGGTTTACCTGCTATAGCAAGAGCAAATGGGTCATTGGGATCAATCTCCGGCTCCTTATACTGTGGCTCGTACTTTCCGCTATGAATGACCACTGTTTACTGTGTTAACCACATTATTTGAATGAAGGGAAAGAGACTTACTAGCTACGATATCCGAATCGTCTGTATAAATGTCCGTTCCCCAGATTGCTCTCTTCTTCACCTGCACGTTCTCAAATGTCAAATACCTTGCCGGAACACGAATTTCCATGATACCATTCAAACAATTTTCTAAATTTGGCAGCAGACGATGAGGGGAATACACCTGGTACCCAAGCAATTTTTCCTCCATGCCCTCCAATGCTTTCCAAACTTGATCATTTTTTACAATAAGTTTCGGTTTTGGTAATGGTTCCTGCTGCACAAGAGTACCCGCGCTCATGCTCTTATTACGTCGAATCATCATGGCTTGATCAATCATATTTGAAAAAGCGTTGCCTACAGCTGCTATGGAACTGTTTCGACGTGCTGTATTATGGCTACTGTTATTGCTATTATTGTTGCTGTTTGTCACACTGGCAACTGCTGCAGCTAGCTTCTGCGTGTCTTCTTGGCTAAACGATCCTCGATGGAAGCCACTTGAGTTTAAAAAGCTGCTGATATTGGCTGTAATGGCTGCCAGATTGCCGATTGCGGCAGCTGTGTTGCTGTTACTGCTGCTATTACTATTGTTATTACTGCTATTATTGTTATTGTAAATAGAGGATGATTGGGTACTGTTATTATTGGCTGCTCGTGCACTCGCAGCGACAACTGCCAGGGCATTGCCAAGTATCTCCGAAGGTGTTACTTCTGTCGATTTTTTTCTTTCCTGCCCTGTGTGAGTCGACCTAGATGATGAAGATGATAGCTGTTCAATCACGCCCGCGTTGCTCAATCGACGTAAAGCTGCGCTGATATTGGGCAAATTATTCAGTGCTAGGCTCGTCGCATGAGATAAGGATGGACTAAAAGACGTGGATGGTCTAAGGGGTTCTGTAGGCTTATTCTCGTCAGGTGTCTCTTTACTCTTCGTCACAGATGATGCATCCTTGTCAGCTTCTGTGACTGAAATCGTAGGAGGAGTTTTTTGTTCGTTGCTGGTCGTCGCTGCTGTCGTTGTCTCGCTTGGTTTTTCTACTAGTGTCTTTTCTATCGCCGGATCTGGTGATAATTTAGTCTCTGCAGGAACAGAAGTGAGGGCAAATAATAATTGCTCACTTGTAATCGCTGTATCATCACTACTATTTGGTTGAGTTTGGCCTACAGTTTATATAATCAAAAAGGAGTCGCTTTTTTTAAAAAAGGTGTGATTTACTCGGAGATGCTGTGACGGCTCTTGCAGGATCATCTGACTCAATATTCTCTTTTACTTCTACCATTTCGTTCAGTCAATCAATCAGTTCAACTTCTCTTTCTCTTTCTTTTTTTTTTTCCTCTCTGAGGAGAAAAAGATACACCTGCTGTATAAACAAGAGCTTTCCTCTTCCTCCTCCCTCTTTTTCTTTGCCTCTTTTTTTTTGTTATTCTTACCTAATGTGTCAGTATTATCTACCATAAGGGATTTAGTTCACAATGCAGAAATGAACAAGAAGCAAAGCTTTTACCTGCGACAATATCATCAGCCTGTACTGGTTTTTTTTCTTCTGTTTCGTCCAGTTTTTGTTTTTTAAGTGCCTCAAGTTGCTCATCTTGTTCTGTCGCACGCTTTATTCCACCTTCGTTGTCGCTCATCATAAAGTGAAACTGTATTCAAAATGGTTTTCTTTTTCTTTAGATCGGCAAAGATAGGATATAAATGCTAAAAGTAGAAGAAATATGAGAAGAAAAAGGAATGTAAAGCGATATATTCCTGCTATTGCTTGAATCTCTATGCGGTGTGACTTTATATTTTACAAGTCCACTTGTTCCTGTACTGCTGTTATAGTGCCGCGCGCCCCGTTTCACTTTTTTGAGGTCATGCTTTCTTTCTCACTGGACGTTCCATTTTTTATACACTCATAGATAAACCGATATTTTAAGGCCAATTCGATACATTAGCTTGATCAATGTTAGGCACTCTACTAGAACGTAAGAAATAAAGCATGATTATACCAACTATTTCTACACGTTGATGTTTTGGTTATTAACTAAGTGATTCTGAGAATAAAAAGGGTGTCCTGTGGGCATTTTCATTGTGCTAAACCCCTTTATAATAATGCAGACAAAGACAGGAGAGCCTATTCATCTACATGCCTTTTTCACTCAATACTCAAAACTGGGATCTGCCTGATAAATCCGTCTCAATTTATAATGAAAGGTATCAAACTTATTTAGTTTTAAATAGTAAGACATCCTATTCCATCATTTTCTTATGCTTCTGAGCCAAAGTCTTCAATTAAAGCTTGTATAGCCAATACTTACAAACCTAAAAAATTGGAGTTTTCTTGAAATCTAATCAGTTCCGCTTCTACCATTGTTTACTCTATGTCATAAAAAGGCCGCATGTTATAATGACTGTAGTCTAATTAATACTAAGTGATACAACTACCAACAAAGCATTAAGACAACCTTGTTTACAGATAACTAAATAATTACTCATTGACTGACTACATTTGATATAACAAGGTCAAGCATGTCTTGTGCTAATTAATTCATGTAAAATGTATTTATCAATAAAAGACGAAATCTGTATTCTATACACCATTTTCAGAAATTATTCGCACATAATTTAAAATCAACAGCAATTACACTTCAGTTAGTTATCAATCCTTTCTTTATTATTAAAAAGGCAATGAATTCTGTCTTTTTGAAGGAAGAGAAGATAAATGTGGTCAACGCTGATAAATAACATGTAACTGAAAAAGTTGTTAGAGACTTTGTTTAAATAGTCTGATCTTGACTTCTTTTTCTTTGGACCAAAAAGTAAGACAGCCATTCCCCAGCTAGTCCTAAGGTATGTTATATTCTTTATTCTTGCAAGAAACTGACATGTAGTATAGATTGTCCATCGAAACTAACCCGGTGTTGGCTAGGGATAGTTTGGTTCTTACTAAATTTTGGGCTCAGACACTCATTCAACTCTTGCCACTCCTTTGGCCGCTCCTTCCTCTTGTCTCTTGCTTGCTCTCTTTTTCTTTCTTTCCTTGCTCTTTTCGAGCTGATTATCGCCAGCCCAAACCAGGATACGCTTCGGATAAGATATTAATAACCTCTTTATAATTTTACTAATGATTCTTGTCTCTGTTTTTCTCTTATAAATACTCTTTTTATAATGCAAGTATTTAATATCAATGTAAACAACTGATTTACTAATCGTTTCTTTTATATCTCATTCTTTTGCTTCTTGTGGACTCTCTTTTATCATTATTTTATTTTTTGTTGTCTGAAATTATCATTTTTTTATCAGTGTGCGAATAATATGTGAATAGAGTGTACTCAATATACTTTTCATTGGACAAGCATGTCTTTTTTAAGTGTGTGTAGCCCAAAAGCATTGGTGATTGTATTGTGGCTTATACTTCTCGAATAAACTGTCACGAGTTCTTTTTTTATCTCTAAATCAGGTTCCAAAAAAAAAAGGCTTTCTCTTTTTCATATATTGACATATACCTTTTTTTTTTTCTGTTTTTCTGTTTAAAAAATGCAATCAGACGAAGTCATCTGGCAGGTTATTAACCACCAATTCTGTTCGTATAAAGTCAAGTAGGTATTTTTAAAGATCGGTACGGGATCAAAAAGATGTACTAACAAAAACCTGCTAGAACACCTACTACGAACTTTTGTCGTAATCAATACAATGTCACTGGTCTCTGTAATCGACAGTCTTGTCCTTTAGCAAATAGTAGATATGCAACAGTAAGAGAAGAGAAGGGTATAGTTTATTTATACATGAAGACACCTGAACGAGCGCATTCACCTGCGAAAATGTGGGAAAGAAAGAAGCTCTCTAAAAATTATGCTCAAGCTTTGAGTCAGGTAAGAAGAGTCCAATAGAGAATAATAAACAGTGAGCTGACGAGTTACATTAGATTGATAAGGAGCTGCAATATTGGCCAAACTTCTTATCACACAAATGCAAGCAACGTCTGACCAAGATCACCCAATATCTTATTCGTATGCGTAAACTGAAACTGAAAGAAAAGTAAGTATATATATACACACATTTCTATGCTTAATGACTAATCTGCCTATTAGTGATCGACCTCAACTTATCGGTATCAAAAAGAAATTGGAACGTCGTGAAGCAAATCGTGAACGCAAAGCAGAGGCAGCTGCACGAATAGAAAAATCTATCGAGAAAGAATTGATTGACCGACTAAAGAGTAAAGCTTACGGTGATGCTCCATTAAATGTCAATGAAGAAATCTGGCAAAAGATATTGGATGAAGAACTTGAGGATGCAGAGGAAGATGAGTCTGATGAAGATGATGAGAATGAAGAAGAGGAAGAAGAAGAAGAAGACGAGGTATTAATGACATGTCAATCTTTTTGTTCTCTTTTTCTAATTGACCATGATAGGATGTTGAATTTGTCTCTGACTTTGATGAGTCTGATGTTGGAGATATTGAAGATATGGAAGATGGATTCGAATGGGAACAAGAACAAGAAGAAGAGAATGTTGGATATACAAACTAGATAATAAACATGTATAATAAAAAAACTAAAAAGTACATATCACACTATATCTACGCATATGGCACAATCTTCTCCCTCTCTCTTTCTATCTCTTCGTAGCAAAGTTAATGATTCACTGACCTTTCCTTAGAACAAAATAGACTGTAGTATATTCCACATTTGCAATTTAAAAAAAAAAAATGATAAAATGAACTTTATCTTTTTATTGATGTACAGTGCTCACGGCACCAATTCGCGTCAACCTAAAAATCAATTAGCGTAGTTCTTACTCAATGCATGTTTTTTATTATAATAAAGCAATCGTATAGTTGTCGAAATGGAGACGAAAGATGTGGTACGACCGATCCCTTGGTTTTCGCAGATTCTTCAGGCAGGGAAAGTAACTCGCCCACAAGTCAAGAAAAAATAGAACAATGCGCTTAGAGAGCTATAACGAGATACAGAATATAGAAACTTTGTATTTTATTGTTATTAATTTAAAACTACGAATAAAAAAGCGCGGCTCAGAGAGCATAGTACTACATCTTTCGTCTCCATTTTGGCAGCTGTACGATTGCGTTTTTTTTTTTTTTTTAAGCTTGGGGGACAAACGCAACATAATCGTCTGTCTGATATCTAGCCCAATAAGAGTAAGTAAGAAAAGATATTGGTTATACTTTAAAAATCTACTAGCGATGTCTTGCTAATTAGTAGTTATTATATTCAAGCACAAAATCCTTATACTCACAACGATTACCCGGTTTTCTGTTAGAAAGCTTGATAAAGCGCCATATTTTATTTATTAATTTTAATAAAAAGAAAATAACTTTTTATTTTAAATATACATACTTGATATCACATTTTTCGTTAAAGATTACTTGGAAATGAACTCGCTCTCAATGAAGCAATATGTTACTTGTTCGATGATTACAGGATTGAGATATGAAAATAAAGGTACTATGATGTCACTTTGTCATTATTCGATAATAAAAGGCATAAAAAAACTAACCATACAAGTCCAAAAGTCTTGCTTTAACGTTGCTTGCTATTTTTTGGTTTGTTTTATGCAGACGACTACCAACGAAATTTGCCATCTTGCTTAAATTGGCCTGAAGAACAAAATCCGACATTTTCGTTGGCTTTTCATTATTTTGTTTAACAAGTGTATTCATTTGATTCACGACTTGATCGATTATTTTCCATGATTCATTATCTTCATTATGTTGAGCAGATTCATACGCAGTTTGAAACAAAGGCACGTTTTTTGATATATCGCTCTTTAAGCTGAGGTTAATAGCAATTGTTTGCAGCAATAAAGAATCAATTTTTGGCGCAAAATTGCAGTTTAAACCATAACCATCTTGATTTGTGATGTCGCATAAAGTAAATACAGTAACAGGCATAAATCTAGTATCATTAAAGTCGTCCAAGGTTGATCTAAGATAAGCATGTGTTAACGTATGGTTGAAGGAACTTATTAACTGTCTTAAACATGAGATACTTGGAGATAGATAGTCGGATCTGGATGGAAGACAAGAGTTGAACGCTTCCTTGAAGCTTGGCACTTCCTCTGATCGCAAAAAAACTTTTGTACTATCCACAGTAAATTCGGTGGGAGCGACATCAACTTGAGGACCAACAAACACTTTTTGTAATCCGGATGTTGCCATTGTTGTGGGACAGGTAATGAGGACGTTCATTGTATGTAAGCCAATAAGCAGTTTTTTGAGAAGTTCTTTCCATCAGAGCTAACAATAACAGAACAAGATAACCCATATAGAAACATTTCGAAGAGGGCACAGAATCAATACTTGTTTCTAGATGAATATCTATAGTGGCATGTCTTGAGCAAGCTTCGCAGGTAATAGCCATTAACATCAACTTATTATGGATTAAGGCACCGGTAAAGAGCTTGGGAATTAAATACAGTTTCTTTTGAGTAATACGAAAATCAGTGTTCAGGAGACTAATCACTTTTGCATCAATTTCCTCGTAAGGTCCCAGGGTTTTCAGCATATTTGGTACACTTAACAAGGATACAACTTGCGATATATCTTCAAAGTTTATTTTATTTTCTGGACTATCACATTTTCTGCAGGCATAATTCATTACCACTTTTTTGGCCAGTTGCAGCTCTGCTTCGGATATTTTTGGGCAAACACTTGGTGCATTCAAAAATAGACTAATACTACGTGCATTACCTACGATGCTGCCTAACAAAGCTTTTCAATGTGTAGTGTCGAGCTAAACATGAGTTTATGAAGTTGCCATCTTGAATTGTCTCTTTTCAAGGAGAAGAAAGAGATAAAAAAGAAATGTTGTTATTTTTTATTCTAATTTTATGTTGTCAGTCTATCAACAAAGAACCAAGATCAACCACATGTAATTATGATAAATTCGTATTTTATACCAGAGAGAATGAACTAAACAGCCTTAGGTTAGGCAGAGAATTTGGTAGTGTGAAGTTGTAAAGTGATGTCACATGTAGCATCCCCAAGGAAGCGCCCGTAGTATTAGCCTATTTTTGAGCGCATTTTTGAGTGCAGCAAGTGTTTGTCTATTTTTGATGTATCTCCAAAGTTAATATTGAATTCTTCAGACATGTTCTCAACTTCTTGAGCATGTAGCAGAGCGTGAGCAATAATATTTTTTCGTGCCTTATCATATTTGTCTATCTTCAGCTTGACTGGATAACATTTGAGCAAAGACGATTCTTAACTAAACGTTCCAAGTCCTCTAGAACTTTACGGCTGATGTCTGAACTTGAGAGTGATGCATCCTTAGACCAATGCATATCAAAGCATATTTCAACATCCCATTTTGAGGGAACTGTTTGCATAAGATAATCAAATACAGAACTGCAGCTCTTCATCAAATTAGCAGGCCCAAAGAGAGAATAAAGGAAAGAGACGCGAAAATGTGGTTTTGCTATTTGCACAGCACTTGCATAATATGTGAGGTAAGAAATCCAATTTGCACAGCAAGCAGCATATCTATCATATTTACCTTATGAACAATCTATTTTGTAAAAGATTATTTGAAGAAGAAGAAAAAAAGAACTAGCCACAAAATGCGTTATTCTTATAGACGCGTCAAGCCCTATTCTCATTAGCCGTGGTAAACTCATGCAATAATCCTGTTTTCGTATAAAATGATGTTGTCTGTAATAACAAATCCTCTCTCGTTTCAGCATAATAAAGAGATTTGGTCAATATATCAGAGTAAAAGTCAACAAGAAAGGATATCACTCGCCCATACACTCCTTATCAAGGCCACGCTCATCAAGATCAAATAATAACTATATAACATTGTATTTCTTTTATTGGTTTTAAATGTTCGCTGTTTTAAATAAAAAGATCACAGCATATATTCTTCCTTGGCTCTATCCGACGGTCTCATAAAATTCTCCAGAGAATTCATTCGACGGAGAATGGTACCGTGAGCACTGTAAAGCTTTATTTTCTTGAAAGAATTTCTTCATTTTCTGCTTCAAATCCATTATTCAACATAAAGTTACGAATAACTCTTTGGTTCAAACGAACGTTGATTGCGTGAACAGGACTTGACTGAAAAGTTGAGATTAAGCCCATACCATGACGATCGTCCTCGATCTTAAACTGCTTTATTTCAGGATACTTGTTTAGAAAAGTTTCAAGTCGATCATAACACTCTGCAATTGTCATATCGTTAGGTGCTGCGGGCGTAGTGGGCTCGGTATTATTTAAGCTGGGCATATTTTTATTTAAGATATATTTAGAAAAGAGAGAAAAGAAAAAGAAATTAATAACTCCAAATACGAGCACGATTATCACCAGAACCAGAAGCAAACAGTGGCCTTCCATTGGTTGCTACGGCAACAGAAATAACTGCGGAACAATAAAAAAAATAAATATCTTCACTACGCTAAAATGCATTGATGTCATTTTACCTGAATTCTTATGGCCTTGCAGCATAAACTGAGGTTGGCCCGTCTTAGGGTCCCAAAATTGAATACTTCTGTCCTTGGACCCAGATATGATCCATTTGCCATCGTATGTACAAGCAATAGATAGCACAAAATCCTACATGATAACTTAATCAAAAATACAAACAATAACCACAGTAAAAAAACAAATACCTTGTGCCCAACAAATGTCATCTTGCACGGATTTCGTGCGGTCGATGAATTACTATGAACAAATCCTCTATTCATATTTGTGCCCAGTCTCCACAACTTAATTGTTTTGTCTAAGCTACCACTAATTAATTCATTCTCATTGGGCATAAAAGCAACACTGTAAACACTATCCCGATGTCCTTCCAACTGCTCCATCAATTGTCCTGACTGAATATTCCACACGCGCACCATCTTGTCTAAACTTCCTGTGGCTACCAATCGTCCATCATAAGAAATCGCTACACTTGTCACTCCGGGGTCTTTCTGATTTAGGTCATTCACTGCCAATACATGTAAACATTTGCCGTCTGCCATATTCCATATTCTCGTTGTTCTGTCTCCAGACCCAGAAGCGAGGATGCGTCCGTCTCGACTGAAATCAAGTGAATAAATGTCTTGGTCGTGGCCAAGTAGCACGTTACGAATGCGTTTTGTTGAGATATCCCAAATCTATAAGAAAAAAGAATCAATTGAAGATTAAAACAATGACATAGTTCCTTACCCTAATCTGTTTATCTTCAGCTCCTGTAGCAAGGAAGCGGCCATCCGGGCTGAAACAGACAGAGCGAATATAGAGATCACCCTCTTGTGTTATTGCGTCATCCTGTAAGGTACTATTTTACAGTTGGTCAAATAAAGAAAGCACATATATCACACACTTACCATATCTTGAGGCCGTTTGAAACATCGTAAATATATGTTACTCGATTACAACCAGCTGCTAAGAGTCTTCCGTCCAAACTAAATTTAACACAGCAGACAACACTGCTATGTTCAAGTGTATATATAAGATTTGTCTTCAAAACCCTCTTCACCTTTGGATTAAACCTAAATAATAGATAAAGATTGAGCAAATGTAAATAAAAAAAGAAAAAGACCTACAATGCAAACCAGTCTAGTCCTTCAATTTTCAAATTATCAGGTACTGAATTAGGATCGAGGTCAGCCAGAGAGGTTATTTGTTGTTGTTGTTGTTGTTGTTGTTGTTGTTGCTGTTGTTGCTGTTGCTGTTGTTGTTGTTGCTGCTGCTGCTGATGTTGTTGTTGTTGTTGTTGACTGCTGCCAGGTACAAACTCTTTAGCGGTTGGGCGCTTGTCTAGTGATTTATTATTGTACATATATGCTGGATCTTCTAATGGGCCCATAGTATTTGTTGTAGGCATCATTTGTGCAGGATTAGGAGGAGCAGGAGCTGCAGATGCTGGAGCGATGGCTGCATTCATTATACCGCCAAAATAGTTGGATGCAGGTCCTATATTTGGTGGTGGTTGTTCATGCTTAATCATGGGCTGTTGCGAACGTTTATTACTATACAATTCCAGCTGTTGACGTAGTCTCGCGATTTCCTCTTCATACCTAAGGATGCATAACTGAGAAAAAAAAAAAGGAAGAATACGCGTGTTAAAGTAGCTTACTGTTTTTTGATTGCTTGCTGTGTTCTTTCCATTTCAAGTAGACTTTGCTGAAATTTTGTCATCTCTTTTATTTGATGAGCAACTATACAAGATGAGTGAGTCATTTGTTTTGAAATGATGCTTAAAGAAAAGATTCATTACTCTTGTTTTCAAATTCATCACGTTGAGATTTACAAACGAATGCCTCTTGGGTTAACTGGTCAAATTCAGCCCTGATTGAATCCAGCAGTTCCAAGATGCGTGCTGAATGAGGAGTTGGCACCATAGCACGGTGGTTATAAACTGACATTATAGAAAGTTGCGTGTGTATGTCTTTTTAAAGAAAGGTGTTTATTTCATTAAATTAGAGATTAGACGAGCGTTCGTTTTACCTCTTGTTTAAATGAAACAAAATAAAAAAAAAATAAAAATAAAATAAGGAGTCACTTGGTTCATCCATTTTCAGGCGCGATTAATGCCGACATGTTTGTAAATATATATATATGTGTGTGTGTGCGTGTATATATTAGTCACTATCAGAGTTAGACGGACTGCCTTCGTCTTCTTCCTCGTCGCCATCATCTAGCAAACAATTAAAAAAGTGGTCAATCTAGGATTGATTTTAAACTTACTAAATAAAGCACGTAAAGACATTGGCCCTGCCGTATGTGGTTGAGATGGTGTTATATTACTTGTAGCATGTGATGGATTTACATCATTAACATATTCTGGTCTAGGAGAATCTGGGGCTGACGCTACATTATTTGTGAGTGTCATGGATATATCATTTAGTAAGGAATCAAGATCGTCGTCGTCTTCTTCGTCATCATCATTAGCTTCATGCTCTTCACTGCTCTCAGACTCTGAGCTGTCGGATTCTGTATCTGCATTTACATTATAATTGGGTCCATACCCAACTATTTCTGATTGATCACTCACAGAACCTTCCAGCGGCGTCGGTGAACGCCCTCTAAATTCAGAGGACGCATAGGTATATCGATGAGACCCTGTCCCTGTTGAGAATCGGGGTGATCTAGGTGTAGGTGCTATACTTAAGGGACTGTATCGAGGCGTGGAAGCAGTTGGGAGAATTTCTTCGAATACATCGTGATTATCATTATCTTCTTCACTTCCATTATACTGTTCTTCATAATGATCCACTTGCTGTTGATTATGCATTACTTCATCATATTTTTCTGTGCCATCTTCATCTTCTTCTTGGCTATTCAATATTTCATCCATATCTCGGGACAGATCAAAATCAAAATCATCCTGTGGATATCCATTCTGTAGACTACCAGTTTCTCGCTTCAGGTTGATTTGTCCAATTAAACGTTGAAGCATAAAGGTCTTTTTTAATGAAAACGTATTAGTTACTCTGTTTAGACGTATACATAAATGAAATAGGGTACATTGGTATGTTCGTCATAGTATAGAACACAATCATATTCACCGTCTTCGTCGACATTCAGTTGTTCATGTGTAATTTGTGCATCAAATGTTGAAAGAGAGCCCTATATTAGAAGAGAAAGGTTAATAAAGCAGAGAAAGAAAGTTTGCTTTATTCATCAGATTATCACATTGAAATAAGTCAAATCTACTTGATAACCAGCGCCTGTTTCGGTAATATCAACTTGCTTTGCAAGAGTATCATAATGTTGATCTGATTCATCTAGAGTATATTTGAAAATGAGCTACTGTCTTGCCTTCTTAAATGTTCTAGCTCTCTACCCGTAAACGTATATAACCCGGATCCACTTTCTGGTGGATGCTGCACATGTAATTCAAACTGTGTCTGTTCGGATGAATTGTAGTACATTAAAGGAAGAACAAGCTAATCAGTCCTGTTTCTATTAATTTTAAAGTACAGCGACTTTGCAGTCATGCCTTTTGTTTTTTTTAAAAAAAAAATCAATAAACGTACGACAAAAGTTAAGCAATACGACAGTTGCAAAAGAGAGAAGGCCAAAAATGCGGTCAATAGCTTTCTGAGTCGCGCTTTATTTTCCTTTATAATAGTAATACAAACCTCTTTACATCTTTCTAAGAGAAGCCCTATGTTATATCAATTTTTTTAGAACATAAAGAAAATGTGCAAAATACAACAATTACAGGATTAAAACGATCGTCGGCGCCATTGGCGGGCCTTGGTCACATTTTTGACCTTCTTGCCGTATTTATACAATGAATACAGTGTTTCTAAAAATTAATGTCACGCCAAGATGTCGTATTCCTGTATATTTTGTATTGTAAAAATTGAATTTTTGCGACATTACTTTCTGGAAATACTGTAATCGATATTTTTTTGTCAATTGAATGAATATTTGTCAAATCAAATTTAGTTCATGAGCAGCTAAATATAACACCCTCCCAACCAATTAAGATATATTTGTCTTCGTATTGTATATCAAGTTTTTTTATCACATCATCTACTTTTTCCATGATTCTTTGCTCTCGTTCTTGAGCTTCCAACTTAATGAGGATGACTGCTTGCAGATTGATGACATTGAATCACCAGATGATGAAGTAGACGAACTGTTATCGGAATCATATTCGAATGAATCTTTATGGAGACACATTTCGTTGGAACTAGTAAAAGATAAAGATTATATGTTATCCTCTTGAACAATTTGCATAATAATGTCAGTGACTTCGATATTTTTGATCAGAGTTCTCCACAATTATCAAAATTAAGATAATGAAGTGAGTATTTGGTTATAAAGATAACCGTGGTCAGACATTCAACAATAGCTACTCCGTGTTTACCAGTGCTAAGGATATTCGTAACTACCAATGGTGAGTGAATTATAATACCATTAATGATTTTTGTTGCTACAGTGCGCAGTCGTAACCTATTGCTATACCCTTAAATCTTTTGCTTTTTTGAATCTTTTTTAGATTCAGCATTGGTCGGCTTAGCATCGTAGAAAAAAGGATCATTGATTCCAGCAGCAGCTGTATTAGTGAAAATGAATCCACCTGACGTCTTTTTCGGTGAGCACTACATGCTGGGCGCTACCTCTACCCACTACCTGTGATACCGTCAATAAAGTTTTCAATGTGTGACACCACGCTAAGTTTGCTCAGGAACAGATACCTTTCCATATTCTTTAATGTAGAATACAAATTTATAAAGTTTCCGCCTTAGGTTAGGCAGAGGTTTTGGTAGCATGAAGTTGTAAAATGATGTCAGAAATAGTGCTTAAAAGAAGCATCCGTAGCATTAGCTAATTTTCTGGCGTATGTAGCGTTAGCCTCTTTTTCTTCTTCATCAACCAGTCCCAACTTTTTCAAAGATTTTACAATGTTTAAATAGCATTGTGATTTGAAGAATAATTGGTTTAACTCAGAAAATTAGAAACTAGGATTAGATGGAATGAACCACTCTGTAATCTTTTTATTAATAGAGTAAGGAAAAGCTTTATGGCAACCAAAGTGGAAAGAGAAAAAAAAATGTAGCTCGTGTAAGCAACAGTAAAATCCTCTTAACAAAAGTGTTAGCTTCATTTGCAAATCAAAAACAGCAGACAACCAGCGAAACAGAAGAACACTGAGGTATTGGTTGTTGTTGTTGTTGTTGTTAGTACTCGTTAATGTATAGAATAAAAGCAAAGAAGTGATGAGTCTCTATTTCATCCTTTTATTAGAAGTGAGAGGAGAAGCTCATAGCAAAAAGAACCTTTACGTCCTCAGCAACCAATTATACTTCCACAAACAGCTACAATGCAACAAATCAGCAATGAGTTTAAATCCACAGGAACAACAATGCAATATGTTACACACAACGAAAAACAATCAGCAAAAACAAACACCACTACTACCACAACAAACTCCACAACAACAACTTCCACCACGACAGACTCTACCATCACAGCTTCTGAATCAAGAGAATCAATAAGTACCATCATCTCCACAGGTAAACTATTCAATCCCGAAAGATGGAATTCTACCGGGAGGGCGTATTGCAAAATTTTACCACAGTTGGACAAAGATAACCTCCCATCCTTGACTGCTAACCATAGTCAAGGAGGGATACAGAATACAATTCGTGACCCAACCAACGCCTTGGAGGACCATTCATCACCCAGTCAACCAGTTGGATCAACAAGAAGCAGAATTAGCGATACAGAAATTCTTAACAGCAGGGATTATAGAGAGGAGCAACAACTTACAATTCTCAAACCAATTCCTCTCGAAGTTCTTCACCATACAGGAGCCAACCAAGAGGAGACTAATCTTGGGTTGCAAAAAGCTAAACTAGCTCATACAGGTCCAACATTTCAAGATGGAAGGAGTACCTGCATTAAGAGAACTCATCGAAAAAGGCGATTACATAATAAAATTAGGTCTAAAAGATGCTTACACAGTAGTGCCAATCCACCGAAGTCCAAAACCATATCTGGCATTCCAACATCAGGGAGTCACCTACAATTACAAGGCGCTAAACTTCGGGTTAAATATAGCTCTACAGATATTTTCAAAACTACTAAGGTACGCCCTGGAACCTTTAAGGAAAGAAGGTATTCGATTGGTTTATTTTCTCGACGATATTTGCATACTGGGTCAAGAGAAGGAACGTTTGCAGAAGCTAACGGAAAGGATCATGACATATCTGGAGTCATTAGATTTTCTAGTGAACAGAAACAAGAGCGTATTAACCCCTTCGCAGGTTCAGGACTATCTGGGATTCACGTTCATTACCAATAAGATGACAATCAAGGTTCCAGAGAAAAACATCAAGAATTTGAAACAAAGGCTCAAGCAAACACAGCAAGGAACGAAGAAATCGTGCAGATGAATGGCAAGCCTGATGGAGAAAATGACGGCGATGATATCAGCAGTTGCAGAAGCCCTTCTTCACATACGGTATATACAGAGGGATCTAACAAGATCATTAATGGGACACCAACAAAATTGGGAGAAGTCATTCTTGTGGTCGCCACAGGCGAAGGAAGAAATCAACTGGTGGCAAAACAAACTGACAATAAAGAACGGGCTGCCGATAAAACGACTGCAGATGGCAACTCCTACGATTACCATTTACACGGACGGCTCGGAGACAGGATGGGGCGTAACTTCCTCAGTGATAAGGACTCACGGCTTTTAGATAGAAGAGGAGAAGAACTGGTCCATCAACGTAAGAGAACTGATGGCCATTTATTTTGCATTAAAGCTCCATGCAAAAAGGTTCAGAGGAAAAATAATAAAGCTGTTCACAGACAACAAGACGTCCATAAAATACACAACCAAGACAGGGGTACGACCTCTCCAGTGCTTCAGGATACTACAATCAAGGCCCAGGAACTATGCAATCAGTACAAGACAGATATCATATATCGACATGTATAAAGGACTCCGAACACAGAAGCAGACATTTTATCGAGGAAGACACAACCACTATATGAAAAGAGTCTCGCAAAACGAACCTTGCAGGAGATACAAACAATTTAGGGCCCACTGACGGTAGATACCTTTAACAACAGACACAACCACCAACTTCCCATCTGTTACAGTTTCTGGCCAGATCCAGATGCAACGGTGATAGACGCACTTCAACAGCAATGGCCGAAGAAAACAGCCTACTGTTATCCTCCTTGGAAGCTGATTTCTAGGACCCTCAAGCATATCATTCAACAAAGACTGGAGAAAGTTGTACTGATAACCCAAAACTGACCCTCTCAGTTCTGGTTCCCGGTGATATTGCGGATGAGACAACTGGCATGGCCAAGATATTACCGATAATACGGACTGAACTTAATCGTGTGGCGACTATCAGGGAAAACAGGAAGAAACAAGGTTTAAGTGAAGAAGAGTCAAGATTCCCGGAAGCGAATCTCCAAGAAGGCACAGCCAAAGCACATGACAATGGTTGGAAACGATGGGTGGAATAGTGCCAGGAGAACCAGGTGGGTTGCCTCAAGTACGATGTTGAACAAATTGTCAAATTCTTAATTCATCACAAGAATTTCAGTCCACTACATTTAAATACGCTAAGGCCTGCAAAAGCATCAGTATTCAAGTATCTGCATCCGGGCAGACCAGCCATTGCTTCAAATCACAGGATCCAAGATTTCTTTACCGCAAAGAGAAGAAAGGCCATACAGATTCCATCAAGGCAACAGCTGGAAACATGGGATACAGATATCCTTCTAAAGTACATAAGGGAATCATGGATAGAGGAAAAAACATTATCATCAGAACAGTTACAACAAAAGACGTTAGTACTCCTTTGTTTGGCAACAATGGTTAGACCAAGATCAGATATAGGGCGTCTGAGATATGAAGATGTCATTCTCAACTATACAACCTCCAATAGGTTCAGCAGCACAATTCTTCACTTTCGAGAGGCAAAGGAAACTCAGGTAAAATCTGTCACTTTGGGAATTATAGAAGCTGTAAACCTATGCTCGGTACGGAAACTAAAAAAGTTTCTGCTAAAGACAAGTTTGATTTGAGAAACCTTACCAAAGGAACATGTATTCTTCTTGGCCTATATCATAGGCAAGGCCAAGGTCGCCTCAGTAAGACCATCTACAGTAGCAAGCTGAGTGAAACAATTAATGCAACAAGCTGGAATTGACAAGACCTACAAGGCACATTCCATTCGATCGGTAGCAAGTACAAAGGCAGTTGAGGGAGGACATTCTATCCAAACAGTCAAGAAACATGCAAATTGGAGCTTGAACATAAACACATTTGAATCATTTTATTATAAGCCTACTGCAGCGACATCTTCAAGCACTCTGATCACCAATTCAATTTTTACACCTGAAAATCTTTTCACATTAAGAGCTGAAGCGAAGGAAACTGAGATTGTTATAGGCACGACAAACAATTAAGATGTTTCCGAAGCGGAAGCGAATAATGTGATAAACGCCCACCCTTGGTATAAATTTGGAAAACTTAGAAGCTTATTTTAGTTAGTCAATTTATTCATATCCCTCCCAAAAAAAAAAAAAAAATGAATTGATTATATATGCTTAACATTGAAAGATATAGGGAAGAAAGGGATTTTATTGGTTATTATTATATATATTAAAAATAAAGCGTGGCTCTGAGAGCGTTTATCACATTATTCGCTTTCACTTCAGAAACATCTTGAATTATTAATACAGGGTAGCAATATACACCACACTGTAGCACAGATGATTAATGTGATGTCATTCTGTCTACAGGCTCTTTTATATACAAATTATGATAAGTTCTTTGAATACTCTATAAGTCAATATCAGTGCTAAATATAGCAGATTCTATTGATGATATTGCCCTTCAAATGGAGGAATTGTTTGGCTTACTTGGAAATAGGAGTGATAGCTTTCAAGTCAGTGTTTTTTTTATGCGATTAATCCCGCCATTGTCTTTGAGGTGGACAAGGACACGATCCCCCTTACGTTAAAAGACGCTAAGATTCACGCTAAGCAAGTGGAACGTAGCATCAAGAGGTATGGTATGAGAGCAGGTGCTACCGTACGTGCTACTTCTGATAGTATTGCTATACCACTAATTGCCAGTGGTCATTCCTATTCGTCAAGTGATCTTGGTTCGACTGTATCTACTATGTTCTCGTTGGCGGATAAGTTGGAAAAATTAACTATCAATCTTGTTCGTGCTGCTGATATGAAGGCACGAGATGAAAATATGGTACCTGATGTTTCTGCTAAACCTCGTAGGAAAATCGTATGTTTCTTCTGTGATGAGGAGGGACACAAGAAGCATGATTGCCCTAAGTATCTATCTAACAAGAATGGTGAGGATGGTGTAAGGCCGACCCCAGCGTCTGGAACAAAGCTTACTACCTTGACGGGAAAAGGGATAGAACATCAGTAGGGAAGGTTATTGATGTTTGAATTGACAATATATATCCTTCAAAAGACTCTGTAACAGAACCAGCTTCCGTTCAATTGGTAGATGCGGTATATGACGGTGGTGGTGGCATGGGAGAAATTTATGCTAAACGAAGAGCTGATGGTCCTCCTATGGTAAATGACTCACAGACACGTATGCAAAAAAGAGTGATGGCTTCTGGTAGTGATCCTTTTAATGGTGTTCAAGGCAATATGGCAGCGGCTATGGTGAATAATGGTGGGTATACTGGTCCTTTGCCTGGATATCGAGGTAATTTTTCGCAAGGAATTCCTGGCCCCTCTAAAACACTAGGTGGAGCGTGATTACAAAGTGGACAAGGAACACAGGCTGGTCCTGCTAATTGGGTTCTGCCTCAAAGTGTCACTGGTAATGTTCCTCAAGTATTACCCGAGGAGTTGGTGGAAGTGATTGAACGGCGTAAAACCTGTTTTTCAGAAGTCTCTGGGCTAGGTCGGGTTAAAGGCTATGTAATGGATATCCCTTTGGCGACTGGTGCTACTCCTATATGAAGCAAATCTTCTAGGATGACTTGGCAAGAAGAGACTGCTTTGGATGCTTACCTTGAAGAGCTATTGGACTTGCACATTATCAAAGCTTCGAAGGGCTTATGGACTAGCCCATGCTTCTTTATTCTAAAGAAGAATAGTACCTTGCGTCTTGTTATTGATTATCGGCGACTACTAGCTGTGCTTACAAGTCTGGTGTGATTATCTGAGCTGAATGAAGAACTATAAATAAGAGCATTTTAGTTTAAAAAAACTTTTTATCCTTATCTTTTTTCTTTTCTCTACTATAGAGGGATACGCTGTTTAAATGAAACTTACTTTGGTGCTTCTTACATTAGGCCTGTGGTCTACAACATTTGCCTATGAAGACTGTTCATGCAATCCTGTTTCTTACAACAATAATGCTGATGTGGCTCTAACAAAATCATGTGCTGCAGCTGTGTTTGGTGGCCATGTATGGGATTATCCAAATCGTCCCAACAACCGTGTTAAAATGCCAAGTGATATTAACAAAGTCCTGCAGTTTAAAAGATGTTGTGAAGTTAGAGAGTATTTTTGGTGTGTTAATTACTAATGTTGTCTACTTTACATTTTTTTTTAAAAAAAAAAATAAACTTTTTATCCTTTTATTATTTTCTTAGCGTTTGAATAAATATATTTATACTTGATATTTAAAGAAAGCGGAGAGGTTGTATTTTACGAACCTTCTGGCCTATAATTTTATGGCAATATCCTTCAGTTATTTTTTGGCTCTTTATCACTATCTCCATAGTAAGGCCTTGCCCAAAGGCTGTGATAGCAAAACTATGAGGTGTATCCAGATCCAAGCTGATCGTGGGTATATACAAGAAGATCGTTTACTGGGAAAAGGGGGTGATAAGGTACTACTGCATAAAGGAGAAGCCTTGGATGCGGTTAAACGCTTACATGATGAAGGCCACTTTGGGATACTTAATACTATGGAAAGAGTCAATAAATATTATGTGGTATCCAAATGCCGAGAACTCGTTATCATGGTGATTAAATCTTGCGAGACGTGTCAATTTCGCCCAAGGGTCAAAGCAATAAGAAGTAATCCTGCTGTAATAATGAAGACGCCGATGCATCCATTTTTTATGGTTAGAATCGATACTGTGGAGCCACTACAAAAGACCGATAACGGAAATCAGTACATATTGACAGGAGTAGGCTATCTAACCCGTTGGCCTGTAGCGATGGCAGTATCTACTATTGATGAGAAAATGACTATTGGATTCCTTTATCATGAAATAGTAAAGAACTTTGATGTGTTGCAATATATATACTATCAGATCGTGGGACAAGCTTCATATCTACTTACGTCCACTACTGCTTGAAACAGATTGAGTGCAAGAATGCCATGACTACAAGCTACAGATCTCAAGTTAATGGAATGTGTGAAAGACTTAATCAAACACTTATACAGACTATGGTCAAGGTTGCTCGCGATAAAGAAGATATAATATAATAGGACAAATACTTGAACACGGCTCTAATGGCGTTATGTCCAATGGTGAATGCGTCTACTGGTTTTAGTCCTAGCTGCTTGCTCGGTTATGAATTTCGTTCTCCAGCAGTATGGGAAACTCCTCGTATAGATTTTGTTCTAGGTGAAGAAATGGAAGCTCTAAAGGAAAGAGTAATTATGATCCAGTCCAAAATGAAAGAGGTTAGAAAGATTGCAAAAGAGAAATATGATGAACAAAAGGCAAAGGCGAAAGTTCGTTATGATACTCGAGTCCGTGATCGCAGAAGATATGAAATAGGCGATCAGGTGTTATTGAAAGATAATATTCCAGCTACTAAATTTTCTGATAAATGGCTATGCCCGTACACTGTGTTAAGAGTTTACAAGAACGGAGCTTATCATCTTACTGGCAAGAATGGTCTAAGGTTGAAATATGCTGTAAATGGTGACAGAATGAAGCCTTTTGACAATAGTGTGTCGCATTTGGTACCTGATGTACTGACTTTGTCTGCTCAACAAAAATTTCGCTCATGGACTAACTCAAAAAGAAATCCTGCTTTTATGATGCAAGCAAAAGAATGTTGTCAAGAGGCTAGAGGGGTTGTACGTGGTAAATGTTATGTTGGTGACCGCCTCTTAACAAAATTAAGCTTCGCATATCGCGTATATCACTGAACCCTATTTAGTTCTTTTTGGGATGTCTTTGGGAGTAATGTATACCAAAAATACGGGCCTATACGCGTTCTTACTGGCTCTTTAACGTGTGATTCATTCTATTAACCATTGTTTATTGGCTTCTTTCCTTAGATGATGAGCTTACTATTGGCGCTTTTTTTTAGATGAAGCTTTATTATTGGCACATATACTTCTTTAGATCTTTTATAATTGATTTATTAGGATACTTCTTTACCAGTTATTATTGGTAGAAAAAGAATGGTATTTATTTTATAAAATACGGTTTTTATTATATTACAGTAAGAAATAAGAGTAACAAATGTAAACAACAAAGGAGAGACTTTAAAGGCTTCATTTGAGAGGGATATACATGATAGTACTTACCACAGCAGCCTTACTAAACGACATAACCTTTCTTTATAGACCGTGTAGCAGCTATTATTCATCAGCAAGTATTTTACACTATAAATTAATAAAAAAAAGATTAGTTAGTCAAGATGATCCTTTTAGAATAAAGAATACCTTTTACCTTTTCTTTGAATAGTACAATAGGATCTTAGAAAATAAAAGTAGACTATATAAAAAAGAGTTGTTGGCAACAGTATTTAAAAGGAAGCATGATGTTTTTACCTTTCACAAGCTAATACCATACAACAGT